CTGAGTGGCCCCAAGAGCTAACAGGGGCTGGAGTTCCTCTGAAGTACATTTGGGTGTTATATGAGGTATAGCTAAGAGTTGGGGAGATGGAGGCTCCCTCTGAGCTGCTTCCTTGGTCTCCTGGTCTGCTTTGTTATTTCCCTGTATTATGGGATCATTCCTGACTTGGTGTCCTTTGCAGTGTATGGCCCGCGCTGCCTTAGGAAGGAGGGCTGCGGATAAGAGTTTGTGAATAAAGGAAACATTGCTTATAGGTGAGCCTTTAGTGGTTAGAAACCCTCTTTCTTCCCAGATTGAAGCATGAGAATGAATAATGTGGAAGGCATATTTGGAATATATATAAATGTTGGCAATCTCACCCACTGCAAAAATTAAGGCTCAGTTTAGAGCTATTAACTCTGCCCTTTGTGATGTGGTCCCTTCAGGAAGAGTTTCAGATTCTACAATTTCCTTATGGGATACAATGGCATAACCAGCCCATCTTTTCCCATGTTGGGTCTATGAGCTCCCACCAATAAACCAGGTATAGTCAGTGTTAGATAGGGTTTGGTCTGTGATGTTTGGAAAGAGAGGCTTCTTGAAATCCAGGATTTCCATAAAAGAATGTGAGGTTTCTCTAGTAGGTGTGGGTAAGAGGGTTGCTGGGTTAAGTGTGTGGCATTTGGCTATAGTGATGTCTGGGGTTCCAGGAGGAAGGGTTGTGGCCTTCCCTTGAGGGGGTTGGTCACAGTCGACCTTCAAGTGACCCTCCTTGCTACAGCGAGGGCAGGGCCCTGGGGGAGGATGTGAGTTAGGACAAGCCTTAGCCCAGTGTCCCTCCTTGCTGCATTTGAGACAGGGGCCTGGTGGGGGCTTAGAACTTTTGCCCCTGAAGGATTGCTTGCGCCCGCTGGAGCTCTGAAAGACAGTGGCTAACATTTGGTATTTTGCCTGAGCCCTCTTCTGTTTTTCCAACTTCGCTTCCTCATCCCTGTTATTAAAAACCTTGAAGGCTATGTTTAGAAGGTCTTTTTGTGGGGTTTGAAGGCCCTCCTCCAATTTCTGTGATTTGTGTCTGCTATCAGGAGTGCACTGGGAGATGAAAGGCATGTTTAAGAATAAAAGTCCCTTGTTCGAGGTGGGGCTTAGGGTGGTAGAATTTTGGATAGCCTCCTTTAGGCATGAAAGGAAAAGGGCTGGGTTTTCTTTGGGACCCTGCGTTATTTCTTTGAGTTTTTCCTAATTACCTGCTTTATGGGCTGTCTTCTGGAGGCCCACTAGAAGGCATGTTACCATGGGGGCCTGGAATCTACTGCCCGGGGAATCTACCTGATATCCCCAATTAGGGTCTTTCCTGGGAACAGACTCTTCCCCAACCAGTTGCTGATTATCCTGTTTGTGGAGCTCATCAGCATGGTCCTGAGCTGCCAGCCAAAACCTTTCCATTTCTTCGGAGGAGAAGGTGGAGGTTAGGATAATATAGATATCATGCCAGGTTAAGTCATAAGACTGGGTGAGATATTCAAACTCTTTTGTAAAAGTGGTGGGATCAGTGGAAAAGGAATCTCGTCTTTTTTCAATCTGGGACAGGTCAGACATAGAGAAGGGGGGACATGGACTCGGACTATGCCCTCGGCTCCTGCTACCTCCCTCCGGGCTAGAATGGGCGCAGGAGTAGAAGTGGCTGTTGAGGAGGGGAGTCTTTGGCTGGCCTGAGAGTGAGAGTTAGGTGGGGAAAGGCTGTTTTGGAACTTGTGTTCTCAGGATTTGGGCCCTCAGAGACCAAAAGAGAGGGTAGTTGGCAATTAGGAGGGCCTGGTTCTAGGGAATCTATTGCAGGTGAGGGTGGGGGCACATCACGAGGTGGTGGTCAGTGGTCTGCTGGGTCAAAGGCAGATTCAGAATAAGAAGTGTTAGGGGTATGATGTTTTGTGTGAAGGAGAAGGATCTGATGTGTAAAGCAGGGCTCACAGAGAGAGGATTGAGACTGGAGGGCGAAAAAGGCCTGGTTGTATGGAATCTCTGACCATTTTCCATTGTGGTAACAGAAATTATGTAAATCTCACAGTGTGTTACATCAAAAGTGCCATTTTCAGGCCACTGAGACTCATTATTTAGTTTATATTGTGGCCAAACAGTGTTGCAAAAGAAAATGAGGTGTTTGGGCCTGATTCCCCCCCCACCCCTTGAGTCTGAGGAGGTCAAGATTTTTAAGGGGACAGCTGAGAGGCGTCATTTTGGGGGGTCCAGAGGAAGTGTTCCCCATGATAAGTAAATGTGACCCACAAGGGGAGGGGTGAGTGACAGACCACACATCCAAAGGTGACTGTTTAGGGCAGGCATCCCTGCTGCTAAACACTGTGAGGGAGAGAGGCCTGATTGAGGCTGACAATCGAGTCACCAAAGTAGGATTCAGAGGTAAGCCCAGGATGAGCTGGCGTCCCCAATCTAGAAGGACCCAAAGCCAAATGGAGTCTTCTGGCCTAGCGCTAGGCCTTTCGAGATGAGAGACCTGCGAGAAGTCAGTGAGAGAGAGAGCAGAAGACCCAAGACTAGGGGAGTTGTGGAACGTCACTCACCTAGAGAAGATTGGCTGGTGTGGGCTGGAGGGGCAGCAATGGAGAAGGAGAGGGTCCTGATCTGGCATCCTCCTTGGCTGGGTAAAGGTTGGGGGGCTCAGGGAGGACTCTGTGAGGGAGAGAGGCCTGATTGAGGCTGACAATCGAGTCACCAAAGTAGGATTCAGAGGTAAGCCCAGGATGAGCTGCCACTGCCTACTGCTTTCTGAGTAGCAACCTTGGGGTGCCTTAAGCCACGATGATGGCTCCTCTCCCCATGGAACCCTCCCGGGTTTCAGAACCAAATGTTAGGTCACTGAAGGAGGAATGCACCAGACCAGAGTGGTGAGGGATTACAAATTTATTTGATCATCTACACACCAGGTGGCTGAGACTGAATAGCTCCAGCATCCAGTGACAGGAGTCAGCAGCATTTAAAGGACTTTTGGAAAGCTTTTTCCTGGGCAGAGACTTCTTTATGCATACCCGAGGCGAGAGAATGAAATGTGGTCACCACAAGTGAAATGTGGTCCAAGGGAATGTCCATAGTGAAGTGACCTGGAAAGCCAGTTCCCGGGGGAGAGGTATCAATTCAATTGCTCGATCAAACCTAACAATTCTCACTGGGTTTCTGACCTGCTTTGCAAGCTTTGACCTGTGGATCAATGACTCAACCCTAAGTGAGGTCTCTGCTTCAGCATCATCAATGGCATGATTACCTCTTTATTCTAAGAAATATGAGTCAATTTTTTTCTGGAGGAAAAGATGCCACCAAAGAATGAAGACGAGCTGTGAATTATTCTGGAGAATTTCAGTCTGTGGCTTCATGTTGCCTTTCATGCCAATGATTTCATTTTTACCTGCACAGGTGATCTTGGGCTCTGTTCTGCCTTAGGCTGCCTGAAGCTCAGGCATTCTGAACAACTGCTGACATTTCAACATCAGCTGTCCCAGGGTATACCCCAACTCTCCGGGTGTTCTTCCTGTATGAATTACTGAGCATATTTGTGACTTAAGCTCTAGATAAATAGTCTCAATTTACCAATACCAATTTTACCACCCTACGCAAATAATAGACTCTAAAAATTAAAGGGACAGGATGTCAGAACATCTGTTTTCAGTCTTAGTCCTAAAGGTGCTTTATCTTAGTCAATCTCTACATCTCTCAGAACAATAATTCATGCAAGAAGGTGCCCAGAATCCCACAGTAAAAGTGCACAAATTCAAGCTCATGCCACTATCACCGGACCAGCCTTGCTTCCTGGATTGGACAGATGTTGGCACGAATGCTGTGAGATGTTCAAGTCTGAATTGCCTTAATGGAGATGCCAAGTAGCTGTATTTAAAATTTTTTTTATCCCCAAATGTTCATATACTTCCTATATAGCTATATATAATGAGTTGTAAATTACACTATTTCTGCATGCTAAAAGGAAAACAGAACCAGCCTGAGTCTCAAATTGTCTTGTAAATGCAAAAATTATCATACAAGTGACAACAAGAATTAGTTTCCTCTGGCATGGAACTGGTTGGGCAAAAGTATGCTCCGATAACACACTCAACAGAAATTGTTTTAAATTACATTGAAAAACAGTCTCCATGTGTAGATACAGATTAACCCAGAAATAACTACTAACACATTATGGTTGGGGAGAAACTGTGGTTGGATAACACTGAATTTTATCTCTTGGTTTGAGGGGAATGTACATGTTTAATAAATTGGCCAACATTAAATAGGAATTTTCTTATTTCTCCACATGCTAGTGTATAGCTCAGCTAATTTGCCCAAGACAATTTGTCTGTCATTTTACTTTTTATTTTTACTTAAACTATCTTGGAGGGCTAAGGTTTGAGCATTGGTTTTATTTTACTTCTTTAATTTTTTAATTGATCAAGTTATTACATATGTGTCCTTATCCCCACATTACTCCCCCCCCCATTGGTTTTAACAGTAACCACTGAATGACAATATCACACCTCTCAACTTTTCCTTCTCAAATGTTCCTTTCCTTGTAGGCAATATTCTCACAGTTGTCACCACCCTGTGCTATGATGCCTTGTAGACATTGCTACTTGCCCATTTGAGCTGCTTGACAGTAAAAACTTGTCAACTTCAGGACATGGCATTCTTCATTTAAAACATATCATCCCTCTGCCTACTCTGCCAGGCATGGGTCTAGGTGTTGGAGATGGAGCAGAGAACACATTATCACTCATGGGACTTATATTCTAGCACCTAGTAGAACTTGATTAATATAAACTGCATGCGTCATTGTGTTGATCTATCTTAGGTGTCTCAGATTCAAGTGTCCGTGGAGATTGGCAGGGAAACCAGTGGAGCTGGCAGGATGGAGCCTGACTTTAGCAACTAGAACTCATATGCCTCATCTAAAGAAGGCAACCTGCTTAGTCCTGGCTGGCTGCTCACATGTGAGAATGTGACCCCCATCCCAGGCTGCATACTCTGCTAAATGTTTTACAAAGATAGCTAAACAATCCAGGATCTATAATAAATGTTCCTTTTAAAGAAATATACAACTCATTAAAGTTGCAATGACATGTTGGGCAAACAAAGCAAGGAGAAAGGCAGATTCGGTACATGGTCTATCAGTGTGGGTCTCTGGAGTAAATGAAGTTTAATTTCAAGTTTCCCTCTGCCTCCAAGCCTACAAAAGTCACAAATCCAAAGCTACACATAGGAACTCCGCCATTGGTTTAAACCTTCTGATGATGAAACTGAGAAAACGGAATTAGAAGACCTGTAAATCCTCTTACAATTCTAGGAACCTAGAAGTCAAATTTAAGGAAAAAACATAAACAAAAACAGTGAATTAACAAAAAATACTAACCACAAGAGAAACAAACAAACCAAAACTAATGTTGTCTCTTACTGACTGTCTTTGGAATGTCTGCTCATTACTAGGCAACTTTCAATTAAAAAAATAAATATCTCAGTGCTTTGTTAATAGTCAAATTAGTAAATAATGTGAAGCATTTTTGAAACAGGTGAGACAGAAATCTGCCACTTTCAATTAATTGGCAAATTACTTTGTCAATTAAAAGTATTCACAACATTTTTAAGTAATTTGTCTGTTTTTAGATGTCCCTTAATCCAAATATCAGGTAAACCCTACCCAACCAGGAGTCCACAAGATGGTGTAGACCAGTGGTTCTCAACCTACTGGCCCTTTAAATATAGTTTCTCATGTTGTGACCCAACCATAACATTATTTTCGTTGCTACTTCATAACTGTAATGTTGCTACTGTTATGAATCATAATGTGCTCCATTTCTTGGGAACTTAAGCACAGGTGACCCAAGCTCCTCATTTGGATATACCAATACAGACATCAAAGGGTACTTACTATTAATTAATATGACCGAGCTTAACCAAAAACTAGGAAGAGAGAAGACACAGGATACAAACAATGCAAGAAATCACACATGTTTATTACCAGAGAGCTGATGGGTTTCAGTCCTTGGCAGGCCACCCGGAGACACTCACTGACAGAGACACACGGAGGTCGTCCAATACGCCGCGGCAGGAGCTCGGTCTCTTGACTCGAAGAGAAGCCTCTAACAGTTTGGGCTCAAGACAGATCAGGAATGGCAGTTTGGCAGTTTCCAGCGAGGAGGAGAACGGCTGGTCTGTGGAGGTCAGACAGGCGTCAGAACCGCAGCGGATTTGCTCTCCTTAAATCCTCGAAGCTGGGCGTCTCCAGTGTCTCCTATCGGGTGCCATACACGGGTGCCGCCCTGTTACCTTGGTATACACTCAGGCAGGAAAGTTGTGTACATGTCCAAAGCTTATCAATCACACACACACATCTTATTTTTGGAGTTGTTTACAAGTTTTGGTCTAAGAATAAAATGGGGACTACTTATACTAACTTATGCTAATACAAAATGGAGTGTACTTATGCTAACTAAACTTCTTGCTAAATAAACTTATTACTATAACATTATGTAAATATCTGATATGCAAGATGTTCTTAAGCGACCACTGTGAAAGGGTCATTCAATCACCAAAGGAGTTGCAACCCACAGGTTGAGAACCACTGGTATAGACTCTTCCTCTACCAGACCTCCTAAGACCCTTGTAATGCCCTAAGCACTAAGAGCATCATGTGCTCTAATGAGGTAACTGTGAGTGGGTCCTGGGTGACTCCTGGATGGGGGCTGGTCACTGGAGAGACCCAGCCATGTTAGAGGCTTGGACTTTTCAGCCCCCACATTCTCCAGAGAGGGCAGGGGGGCTGGGCATGGAGTTAATAATTGATTACACCTATGTGAAAGGATCCATAAAAATCACAATAGTATGTGATTCCAAGAGCTTCTGGGTTGGTAAACATATCTGTGTACCAAGAGGCTGCTATAACCCAACTCCATGGGACAGAAGCTCCTGGATTTGGCACCCTCCCAGACCTTGCCCTATGTACCTCTCCAACTGGTCTTTCTTTCACCCTTGTCCTTTAATAATCTGGTAAAGGTAAGTGTTTCCTGAGTTCTGTGAGTTGTTCTAGCAAATTAATCAAACCAAGGAGGGAGTCATGGAAACCTCCAATTTGTAGCCAAATTGAGTTGTAGGTAACCCAGGGACCCTACTATTTGTGATCAACATCTGAAGTGGAAGACTATCTAGCGCAGCGGTTCTCAACCTGTGGGTCGCGACCCCTTTGGCTGTCGAATGACCCTTTCACAGGGGTCGCCTAAGACAATCCTGCATATCAGATATTTACAGTATGATTCATAACAGCAGCAAAATTACAGTTATGAAATAGCAACGAAAATAATTTTATGGTTGGGTCACAACATGAGGAACTGTATTTAAAGGTTGAGAACCACTTGTCTGGTAGGACTGAGCACTTCACCTGTGAGATCTGCTATCTGCAGGTAGATAGTGTCAAAATTGAGGTCAATTGTAGGACACCCAGCTGGTGTTTCAGAATTGCTTGGTGTGGAGAAAGCCCCCATGCATCTGGTATCAGAGGGGCTGTGAGTAAGGAGGTGTGCAAGAGTAAAGGATAGATGCAGAAAGTGTGTGGGCTTTTCTCAGGTAACATCTCAGCAGCAATGGAAGTGTTAATGGTGATTTTATGGTTATATTTATTACCACTTCTATACTGTGAGTTGAATGCATACAAAACTATTAAGCATTCCTATTGGTATCCCTTGGACTTCTCACAGCACCTGTGTGTATAATACGAGCTCAGTAATGTTTATTGAATAAATGAATAAGTGATGCTATTTCTGGTATCTAACTTACAGAGTTGACTGCAAAATAAGCCACCATTCAGGGGCCAAAATTTATCTCACCACTAGCCAAGTGGTTAATGGTTCATTATTTGATTAAATCTCAGTTAAGGAAATTATTGAGCATCATTACTCGCTAGGAGTTTAGGACACAATGAGATAGGGATTCTATTCTCAAGACATCTGTGGTTCTCTGGCAGAGACCACATATGAAATAGAGATTTAGAACTATGTTTCTTTTAGCAGAGCTAATTCAAGGACTTTGCAAATTTTTATTTGAATATTATAAAATATCATTAAATTATTTTCAAACTACAATAAATTACCCTGCCCTATCAAGTATTATATACCAAGCAATAAAACACTGCAACCCCAAAATGTGCTAACTCATATTGTCAGATTAATTTATTTTATGCATCCCTGGGAGTGAAGTTACTTTGCTATATCTATGACTATATATCATGACTGCATTTTAGCAGAAACTAAATTATTCAATTACACAAAAACTCTGACCTTCTGCAAAATCGGACATAATTCTAATTTCTAAACTACCTTGTATTTAGAGTCACACAATATCAAAGCTTGCCTTGAATTGTGGGAATTTTAAAGCCGGCTTACTTGTCAAAAAAAGTCTCTTGTATATGAGGTGCCTCCATAGACCAGTACAACTAAGACTGTTGTAGTTAATGCTGCATTTTCCCCCAATTTAATATCTAAGCCACTCAGGGCAGTATAAGAAAGTAAACAATATGTGACTGCACGTTTACTTAAAACCCCAGCACGCGCGGTGTGGCCACACATCAAGGGCACCCTTCAGCACTGACTACCTGATGGAACACAACCCCTCATTTTTCGGAAGACAAGATAATCTGGAATCTCTACAAAGTTTCTCCACAATATCTACTACACAATAAAAAATGAGTAGGCATTTGAACAAATGGAAAACTGTGATTTACAGTTCAAAGAGAAAAATCAATAGAAAAATACTCATCCATGATCCACATGCTGGAATTAGCAGACAAGGATGTCAGTGATCAAAAAATAATAATGCATCAGGGTGCAAAGAGCAGAAAGAAACTACCAGTAATTTGAATATGAAAAGCTTAATACAAAGGAATGATTGAACTTGAACAGGGGATAATAGTAACAGGGGGTTGGCTAGTAAAGGGTAAAAATTCAGGAATAGCCTACAAGAAAGCATCTGCCACCACGTGGGATGAGATATAGTACCCAAGGAAGAAGCCCTCTACCCCCAGCTCTGTGATTCACATCTTGCTGTGGAGGATGGGGTCAAGGGTCACTGGATAGTGGACAAGTTCATGGAGGAGCTGTACCAGCAGGATTCTCTAGGAATCTCTCTGGGGTGTCTGGGTCAGCTGTCCATGGGATGGTGATGAGACTAGGGATCTGGCTACATGAAACTGTAAAGATTCCTCTAGCCTTTTTAGTGGAAGAGGCACATAAATTTATATTGATGGGCAGAGGCAATTCCTAAAGAAGTAGATTGGCTGCCCAAATATCTTCCAATGTTCTCTACACTCATGTTTCCCAAAAAGGGGCAATTCCCCTCCTCGCCCCCGGAGGACATTTGGCAATGATTGAAGACATGCTTGGTGGTCAGAAATGGAGGTGGGGTGCTACAAGTGTCTAGTGAAAAAAGGACCGAACCTTTTTATGTATGATGTTTACTTTGAATTTATATTAGTTCACACAAACACTCCATCCATGCTTTTGTTCTGGCCCTCCGGTCCAGTTTAAGAACCCATTGTGGTCCTCGAGTCAAAAAGTTTGCCCACCCCTGGTCTAGTGGGTAGAGACCAGGGATGCTGCTAAGCACCTTACAACCCACAGGACAGACCCCTGAGGACATAAGAATTAGCCACTCCAAAATGTTCACAGCTCTGAGGTTGAGAAACCACTTTACATATATATTGAAACATAGACTGCAAAATTCTCTTGACTAGAAGACATTTAATGGCATCAGGCAACACTATTGTGGTGGAAATAGTTTTTTTCTTGAACACCAGGAAACTCAGTCCCAACATAGAACACAGAAACTGGTCATTTGGTATTCCTCTGCTTAAGTGACTCTCCATTTTATCTGTTTACATTTATCTGGATTCTACAGTGAGGGAGGGAGTGCATTACCCAATCATGCAAGTTCATCTTTGAGATGAAGTTTGCTTTAGGATAAGATTTCTAAATCCCACAATATATCTGGTTAACACTTTATCCATGGCAAAGTGTTTGATTGATAAATACTGAAATAAGATAATTTTGAGCTGCTTAAAATTTCTCCCAACATTTTATCTAGGAGGAGAAAAGAAAGTGGAAACAGAAAACAGATGTCAAAGACCCGTGAATGGCTATTTCTACGTGCAAATCAAAATCATGATGCTCTGATTCTCATCTGGGTAACTAAATGTGTTTTTTCCTATATTACGTGGCTCATTCAGGTAAAAGTGTGGATAGTTTGGGGCAGGTAGCTATGCTGTACATGGACTTTTTTTTTTTTTTTGATTGTGTAGGAACAGCCTTTGTTCTTGAGTTGTTTTGAGTATGACATTTTAGAACTGTGCATGAAGGGTAGAGAGGTTGAGGGGTTTTCACATTCACCAAAGCTTTGTTTTCTTTGTTCTTTGAGCTCATTTCATGCAGAAGTTGGTCTAAAGGGGTATTTTTAAAACTCCAACAGTCTATGTGGCCATTTTTTTGACCCAGAGAACTTTTCGGCTTCTAGTCTCACATGGAGATAAAAACGCCCTTCTGCCACAGCTGGCTTCCCTGTGTCATAGAAACAGTTGCGCTGAACTTATATGGGAGAGAGAATTAAGTAGGGAGAGAAAATTGCCTGTAAGAAATATACACAGAACCCAGACCAGAAAGACAAATTCACTTCATGCAAACATACATTTATGTTATTTTGTAGCATATCCATTGTCTCCAGCCTCATCCAAGCTGAATCCCATCTGGATCCACTTCCTTGTCCTCAAATCCATGGAATGAGCTTTAAAAAACTGAAATCCTATCTTGTTATTCATTCCTTTGGAACTCATCGATAGTTTCCTGATATACGTAATGTAATATGCAAGGTCTTCCCCATGCTAGAAGGTTAGAAAGTCCTACATGATAGAATTCCTGTCAACTTCTCAACCTTATCCAATCTCTTTCTCTCCCCCTCTCTCTTCCTCTTCCTCCCTCTTGGGACACTTCAGTTCCTTGAATTTGCTAAATCCTTTCTTGCCTTAAACACTCTTCTCCTGACATTTCCTTTGTCTAGAAAGGACTCTTCCCCCCCACCCCCCCACCCCCACAAGCTGATGTTCACCTGGCCAGCTTCTATTTATCCTTCAAACTTTGTCTCCTGCTCTCCAGCTGAAGGTGGCATCTTCCCACTGTCTATGGGGTTCTGGGCACCTGAGCTGACTCAGCTTGCTCAGTCTTTGTGGTGGAAGATGAAAGATGTTCCAGCCAAGTACAGCCAAGCTTGTGTCAGTACTAATCAAATCACCATTTTGATTAGTCAGGGTTCTTCAGAAATATAGAACTATGCATATATATGTGTATTTTGGACTGTATGAGAGGTCAGCACCCCAAACTCCCACATTGTTCAAGGATCAACTGTAATAGATATATAGCCATGCTTAACAACAGAGATAGATAGATAGATATATAGTC